GTAACCGGCAGGGTGTTATGCTGGGGGGTCGGAGCCACATTCTCCAAAGCGATGTACATTTTTGCGAAAGCAGGCTCAGCTAATCCCTGGAGCAGCTGTGGGTTAAGGGCATTGCTTAAGGGCCTGATGGCAAAAGCAGTCTGCTTCTGGGATTCAAACCAGCAACCATCTGATCATAGGCACAGTGTCCTAGTCTACTGAGCCAGACAACACCCCCGACTCTGGCTCCCGCTGCACCCACCACCTCGTTGTGTGAACACGGTGGTCCTGGGTGGAGCCTCCGGGGACAGTGGCCCGTGTGACTATTATCCTGACATGGGCCGACACCCTCTAAGCACTCAGGTCTGTTTTGTCATTGCGCTCATTAAAAATACATTTAGCAAATGTCAGGACGTACTTCACAACCATTCATAATAAATACGCATTTCCATTATTGGGTTGCATAATTCATTCGCCTCATTCGGAAGATCTGAACGTTTAGCTTTTATATATCCGTGAATCGCTGGGGATAACTGCATTAGCTGGTCCATCCCTGTCACTCTTAACCGTCGCTTATGGTTTTCTTACGTGAGGGGGAGACTATGAGGATATGAGCAAATAACCTGCAAACAGGACGGCCTACCCAGGAAGGAATGCAAAGGATGCCGACCTGCCGGGTCAGAGCTGTTCAGCCTGGGGCAAGGGCTCGACATCCCTTATCTCGCCTGGGTTTCGCAAACAGGCTAGCTCCTTCCGCGAGATAGGTCACTCCCGAAACAGGAACGGCCCCGGGCTGGTATGCAAAGCTTCCTCTGAGCCCCCTAACCATCTCGGCACTGGTCCAAACCCGCCTGGGCTTCTTTCTTCAAGTCCCGGAGCCGTCTATCATCGTCCTGGCCCAGTTTTCCTAGCGTAGCATCGGGCGCTAACGTTAGCTCACGCAGCCACTCCTTGCTTAGGGGCTTCAGTGTAAATAAGCGGTTTTACATCCTCTTTGCTTCTAGGCTGTTCTAGACCCTGTTTCTAAAACCATATCGATTTGTTCTGTACTTTGTATTTTTTTGTCTTCCCTGCTCAGCACATTTTATCATGTTGTCCCAAATGACTATAAAGGGTTGAGGCCCCTCTAAGTCTGAATTCCTAGAATCACCCCTGAGTGTAAGATTGAGGATAATGAGTAACCCCATGTTTTTGGGAGCCGTGCCCTTGAGAAGCTTCTCCATTGTTCTCTGAGGGGAATAATGATCCTGGACCTACCTCTGCTGTGCCGCTCTCCTGTGCTGCGTGAGGCCGGCCAATTAGCATTGCATCCACAGATTTTCATACAATTCGATAACCCCTCATGAGGACCGAAAAAAGGGTCCCCACAAGGTCAAAATAACAGGTTGTTTTCAAATTGTCGGGACATTTGGTCCCCACAGTGTAATATATACATGACCCACGCATATATATATACACACACACACACACACACACACACAAAACACAGTGGTCCTTCTCAACCACATGCAGGATGGAACTGAAGCACAATGAGGAGACAGAAAGACATTTGAGGAACATACTACACACACACTGAGCCTACAGCAATAAATCGAACCCGGAGCCTCTAGGCATCCCGTCTGTGATAAATATGTAGTAACGCAAAGGCTGCTCTGTACTCCTCCCCCAGCCCTTTTCTCACTTCCTTCTCTCCATTCTGCTGTTGCTATGATTAAATGTTCCCAACCTTGACTTAATTAAATTAGCCTAAAGCATACTGATTACAAATATTTAATATCCAGGGTGATCGTATTCTACAAGACTTCTTTTGTCCTTGGTATTATGAATATGTTTTTGTAAATCCTACATTTGGGGATGGTGTTATATTACTGGGAACGCAAATCTGAGTCTTGCAGGCCTTGTAGGCTTTTCGGCGAATAATCAGCAATATAAATTTACCCTAAACAGCTGTTTAAGGCAGAAATGACGGCTGAAGATTTTTAAATGGAGGCTCGTTTTGGATGAGACCGTGCGTCTGTTTGTTTGGGTGCCTGATGGTGGGTCGTTTGTGAGTCATTTATCATGCATGCAGTTTGAGGGTGGGGAATGTCTATCTATAGCACAACTGCTTTGGAGTTGGGGGGGGGGGCAGGGTATGCTTTTAATTAACAGTTTTGGAAAAACTAACTCGCTCTTCCCAGGCTGAACTTACCAAAGCCAGGCAGGATCCTTGGCTGGGCCAAGCGGCGCTGTCTGTTGGCCAAAACATAGGTTGTTGGGGGGTGGGGTTAGGTTAAGGGGGCTAAATATGTAGCCACCCCCGACAGAGGTGTTGGATTAGGCTCAGATCACTGTTTTATTTCTCTGAGTGCATGCCAGTAGACAAATGCAGTTGGACCGGTTCTGGTGTAGTGCCAGTTTAGGGGATTGTGGCAAGCGGGCGGGCCACCCCTCTCCGTGTAACGCAGGTGCCTGCAGGTCTGCGGGGACACCCCCTCCCCCCCCAAACCTGGGGTGGGTGCTGCACGCCTTAGCCGTACCTGCTAACGGTCGTAACCCCTTCGTTAAACATTCGTACTCTGCTTTAATTAGTGCCAGCGGGATGCTTCGTTTGGCAGTTAACCGCCAGTTGGATTAGGACGCAGGGCTTGACGTCTGGCCCCCCCTCCCACCACTTTCAAGTGAGGATAAATGTGCTGTGGCGTGAGCCGGCTGAAGGGCTTCGTCACGGCTCTGCATGATCTGAGGGCCCAGGATGCAGCGGCCACTCGCTCAGGTGCCGACGTTCTCTAATTTACTGTTTTTGGCGGACGTACAGAAGCCTGGGCTGGTCGATTCGGGAGCGGGGCATCTGAGGGTGGGCACGGACGCTGCCGTCAGCTGCCCCCTGGCTGTCACCCTCCAGTCTGGTCCGCTGGGTTCCTGCTCTGGCATGTGGAGGCCTCACATGGCCTTCAGAGCATGGAGACCCGGTAGCTCACAGGCTGCCTGTGCAGTGCTGATGTCTGGCTTGAATTTGGCAGCTGTTATCAGTTCCATCAGTCTCTCCTGATCCCTCCTCCAGCAGACAGGACAGACTGAAAGACGCCCTGCCTTTCTGCTCCCTCTTTCCTCTGTACTTTTTGTCCAGCTTTATTTCCAGGGTGAGACGATCGATAAAACACAACTGTGAACTGAAAGCTCTGGTTTCTTGGGTCAGACAATGCCCCCCCCAATCGTCCAAGCTGAATGTGACCCCCCCATCACAAACAACAGGCTCCTTTGTTGTTCAGCTATCATGAATGCGGGGATCAGCTATGGCTGGCATGCAGATGCTGTTACCCTTGCAGGAACTGTGGTGGGAGCACTGTGCTGGAGGTTATCCAAAGTCTTCACATCCTACTGGGGTTCCTCTCATCAGATTCTATCTGGGAATAACCTTCCCTGCCATGGTTCTATCTTGGTTCCTTCCAGCCTGATTCCATTTTGCCAGGTTCTGTCCTGGAAACAGTCTATCTTGGCTCCTTGGTTCCTTGTTCATTTCTTGGTTCCTGACTGCATACCTCCAGGTTCCATTCCACCGAGGTCTGTCCTACCATGGTTTTATGTTGGTTCCTTCCTAGTGGATTCCATCCTGCCCAAGTTCCGTACTTCCTGATACTGTCCCACTAGGTTCCGTCCCACCATATTTTGTCCCTCCAGGTTCCGTCCCACTAGGTTCTTTCCTTGCCAGATTGTGTCCCACCAGTTCCTTCTCATCAGGTTCCTTCCTGCAATGTTCTTTTCTGCCAACTTCTGTCCTGCCAAGTTCCGTCCCACCAGGGTTTGTCCTGCCAGATTCTGCCCTGCCCGGTGCCATCCTGCCATCCGGGTGTGGAGACCGCTCTGGGCGCGGAAGTGGACTGTTGTATGTGAAGCAGAGTACTTCCCTCGTTCATCTAAAACTGCGATGGGAACTATGGCTCTGTTTTTCTAACATCAGTGCCTTGCGGAGATCCTTCACCTCCTTTATCGGATTTTGGGGATTTCTAAAAATTGTTTGGGATTAATTGTTTGTGGGAAGCCCCCAAATTCTGTGGTTAATTACGCATGTCCAGGTGCTGTCCATGTCAGACTCTCCCTGACACTGAGGTTCCATGCCCCTGTCAGTGATGTATAACCAGAGGTGTTTGCTGTGCAGTCTGGGCCCTGAACATTTCCTACACAGAATTAGTTGACATTAACTCACAGGGACTGGAGAGCGATGGGCACTTATGTCAGAATGAGTCAGGGTCCCTTCTTTTTCCTTCAGGGGTCCTGCATTTTTCCCTGCGTGTTCGATCCAAGGCCCGTGACATGAAGGCCCAGTTTGCACCAGTCTGGGAATCGTGCTCGCCGGCTGAGAAAGCCACACCCAGGGACTGTCATGACTCGGCCTCCTTGGAATGTTGCTGTTTCTTCCTGAACTCTGATTATGGGTTGGTTTTGGTGCGATATGCAGCGGCTTTTCCTTTACGCCGTGCTTGTAATCCGACAATTAGCTTGTCCGGCACGGTTAAGCCGCCGCCCTCTGTTGTAACTCCGCGTTTCATTGCAGATCACGTGTCCTCTTATCATCTGTCTGTGTTGCAACCCTCTGCGTGTTTGTTGTGAGTCTCTATCTGGCCCAGGCGGCCACACTGGCAGACGTAGAAGGTAAACAGAGATGGTGAAACCCTGAATTGTCTCTCTCTTTCTCTCTCTCTCTCTCACACACACACACACACACACACACACACACACACGCACGCTTCCCTCCCTATCATCCTGTGACCATGCCATCCCTTACATGGGGTGGAAGTGCCGCTGTGAGCCTGCAAGCGTGAATCTCAGCGACAAACAAAGAGAATGATTGTTTGATCGGCTTCCAAGTTTGGTGACTCACATCAGGGAACGACAATGACGAAGCCCAGCCGCTGCAGGGGGAAATGGGAAGGCTCTTTGCAACTCAGGACAGTTGAGTAGCTTTCAGTGACTGGGACCTTTGACATCCGGGTCCCCAAATTGACGCAGTGACCATCCCCTGTGTCTGTGCTTCCTCTCAGGTGAACTTCGTGGTCTGCCAGCTGTTCGCCCTCCTGATGGCCTTCTGGTTCCGGCTCTATCTGCACCCCAGCAAGACCAGCACCTTCGTCCGGCACATGGTGGCCACGTTGTTGGGCCTGTACCTGGCCGTGTTCTGCTTCGGGTGGTAAGGGTCTCCGTTGCCTCTGTCATCACGCTCCAATTTAGGGGAAGTGGTCCTTGGCCAGTTTGCTGGGAGTTTGTGACGGTCCCAGACCTTAATGTCTATAACCAACTCAAGGTTCTTCTGAGATGTTGGAGCCTGAACACTCCCTGCCCCACCGACCCACTCCTGCCCAACACCACAAGTTCCCCAGCCCATCTCGTGCCCACTCCTCTGCCTGTCATTGACATATCTAACAGGCATTATCACTGTTGCGAATTTACGTTTTCTCACCGAAATATTACGAGTCACTGTGAAAATATGTTTTTTGTAGAAGCCCCAATACTGCCAAAGATTATTAACCTAATCTTCTTTGAACTGAATCAATGTTTGATATCTCAAACGTTACTGAGTTTTCAGACTCAGTAATGGATACCATTTAATGTGTCAAATGAATCGATAAACGTCGTTTGGGCCCCGCCTACCCGCTGGAGCCTTTAATCGGCACAGTAAAGTCTTTGCGGTAACGGGATGGGCATGGTAACAGGTTCGCCATTTCTCATCCCCTGCAAGGTTGTGGGTGTAAACTCCTGTTGTTCTACACTTTCTCTTAGGAAGGCGTCTGTGTTTGTCTTGGGCTACAGCGTCGTTTAAACACCGTGCCGTTAGCAGGCCCTGTGGAAATTTGAGCGGACCAGCTGCCGGCTTGCGACGGTGGCGGACTGTTGCGCAATGAAAGCTTGCGTGTGGCACTCCTGTTCCTGCTGTTCAAGCTTCTGCCCTGATTCACTGACCCCCCCACACTCCTTCATTCAACAAGCCTCCAACGTTACCTAACCCTACAGTTTTTTTTCCCCGGCACCGGCGATAAGAATGACTGCAGCAATGCGCTTAAGCGGCATGAGCAGCACCCTGGATTACGTAATCATCCTGAGAGCCTGTGGGGGCATTGCAGATTCCTTACCGGAGTATGAGCTCCCATAATGAGTTGCGCTCGACATCTTCTCTGGTTGTTTCTTTGTGTATCAGGATTGGGAGGCAGGCCTCCTGTCTTGAGTTCTCTTCTTCTTCTCTTTCTAGCTCTAACACTCATGGGATGAACCCTCATCAAACTGATCCATGTTCCCAGACATAGCTGAGTACCCACTGTTGACCTTTCTTTGGGCAGCCCTCAAGTTTTCTTTCAGAATTCCTGGCCATCTGTCACTTAGTCTTTTGTTTTGCGGTCAACAGTTTGCCGGTCAACAGTCTGCTTGAATCCCATTTACATTTCGATTCATTTAGCAGATGCTTTTGTCCAAAGCTTTGTAAAGATGAGGATCATTGAGCGGCGTCAGCCAGCATCCCTGGAGTAATTGTGGTTATCGGCTTTGCTGAAGGACCCGACAAGTTGGCCGACTAGCTTTTTGGAGAGAGAGAACTTTGCATTTGTTTTCACTTACCCAGGAGTTACATGTGAAGTGTCCAAGCATAGATTGAGAATATTCAAAACAGAGCCATGAAATGCAGGCCAGCTTCGGCAACCAAAGAAGAGGGGCGGCTTGTCTCTATATCCTCTACCATCCACCCCTGGCTCTCAGGCCATCACATGTCTTCTCCTACCTCTGACTGCTGGTGGCATCGTTGGATATTGCCTGGGAATCCACTGTGGCGTGACACTGCAGGGATGCGGACATGTACAGTCATCTGGGTCATCGGTGCTGTGCTGGGGAGAAGCGTGCATGCAGACAGTGGTTATATCTGCTCACCCTTAAGCTCTATTCTGCATCTCCTTAGGTTGATAAACGCCTTCAGTCTAGTGCAGGGAGTGATGGGATGCAGGTTTGGACAGCCCTTGCCTGGGGGTGGGGGGGGGGGTTCTCCACTCTCTCGTTTTTTTCCCCTTGCGATGCTCAGATGCCTCCAAAGCCTCAGAAGATCAGGGTGTTCCTGCCGACGGGGGCCCTTATCAATTGTAGCAAGGCCAGAAAGAAATATAAAAATAAGAAATATGAAAGCTATAAATTAATGAACATAATTAAATAACTACAAGTCAACTAGGGAAATCCCTCATGGCAATATGCAAAAACTGTTCAATTTTGTACTTTTTCCTCTGCATATTTTTTTCTGGTTATTTATAGTTGTGAGGCAGACATCTGGTGTCTGTTGTTACTTTTGGTTATTAATGATGATATTAATCTAAATGTAGTGGCTCACTATGTACGCTGAACCGTTATTGGTCAGATTGATGTTTCCGCTGGTGCTGAAATGCATTGTGGGCCTGATTTCTCTCTGCCTCTCTGATCTGTTGCAGGTACTCTTTGCACTTCCTCTTCCAGAGTGGCCTCACCTACTGCATCATGCTCTTCGCTGGAGCTGAGCACATGCACAAGTAAGTACCTCCCCCCCCCCATCATGCAGCCGCCTCCATTTTAATTCCCATGTATTTTGTCATCTATGGCAAGAGTAGTCAATTATTTTATTTTTTCCCTGAAGTCCGGATTCCATCAGGCACTCAAAGCCAAGGTCGGGGGGGGGGGGGTTCTCCCTCAGTAAATTTCACTGATGGGGCAGGAGGGGGGCGACGATGGGGGAATTATATTGTGTTTCAGTCCAGATGTGAACCATCATTTACTGGAGGAGTGCTCCCGGGGCCTGTATCGTGAAATGAGATTTGTTGGTTAGCAAGATAACTCTGATTTAAGGTAGTCTGGGCTACATGTAAGCCAATGAAGATTAAGTCCATTTAACCTGGGATACCCTAAATCTAGCTAACCAACAAATCTAGCTTTGTGATACCCTATCCCAAGTCTATGGTGTCATAGTTGGGGTTGGGCTCTGTCGATGCACTGCACCGTAAACGGACAAAGAATCCAAACGTTCTAGACTATGTGGTCGTTCTTTTTTTTGGCAAACCTTATCCTCCGGCTAATTTGGGGGAGTCGCGGTGTGTGCCTTGGTGGCGGTGCAGAGCCCCCTACCTGCTGCACTGGCTGAAAGATCCAGTGCTGAGTCAAAAATGAGAGTTTGGCAGTGATTAAGACCAACACAAACACTGGATGAAGGCAAGCTGTAAACTATAAACAGTGGCACTATCGGCAAGCTTTCCCAGCTGATGGATAACATTTATAAAAATATTTGCCACCACAATGGTTTACATTATAAGAAGTTATGAAAGGATGGATGCATGTCTCTTACTGAGTAAGATATGCGAATTTGTGGCTAGGTAATTACTTTATTTTAGCGTCTCTTGTTAATTCTGGGCGCTTGTTTGGTAGTGTTTTGCCCAGATTCTGTTGTATAACTTCCTGATGTTACACGGGATCGATATGGCTGTCTGTCCACAGGGGAGACTCATTTTTAAATCCCCGTTCTTCCTTTCTTAACTGGAACGTAGTGCTCTCATCAATGTAGGCATTATACAGCAACTCTGTAAACACCTCACAAGTGTTCACTGTGTTATACTGGGTAAACGGGATACGGGAAGTGTGTCTGTCACAGGCTGAATTGGTCAGAATTTTGAGCATTCCAAAGCATTGGTCTGTGAGCGTTATCTGTGCTGGAGGATGAGTGGAGGGAAGTCCAGTCTGCCCCAGGGTTTACCGGAGGCTCGTGTCAGGGCTGTTAATGAGGCTAGGTGTTCAGAAAAGCTGCGATTCACCAACTGTGGGCTCACTTCTGCCGGATATAGTAACAGAGTAGAAAAAAGTGCTATTGTGGTTGAAGCTACACACAGTGGCATTGTGCCTTTAGGCATGAGCTAACAAGTTCATATGAGTGTATGTGTGATATACTGTATAAAATCAGTATTGTATATTATATATACACGTATGTCTAAAGGTTGGATACACCTGCTTCTAATGCATTTCTCTCTATTTCAGCTGTTATTCACGTTATAGTAAAAGGCCTCGAGGCAAAGTATTACATATCAAATATTGCAATGAACAAGAATGCTCAACATCTCAGAATTTTCTCAGATTTTACACTCTTCAAAATAGCCCCCCTTTGCTTCGATGACATCATTGCAGACTCTTGGTATTCTTTCAACCAGCTTCCAGATGTAGCCACCTGGAATGCTTCTCCAACAGTCCTGAAGGAGTTTCCACAAGTTCTGGGCACAAGTTCTTGGCCACCTTGCTCTTACTCTTTGATCAGACCTATCCCAGAGCAGCCCTATAGCGTTTAGGTCGGGGATTGTGGGGGGGCCAGGTCATCTGTCACAGCACTCCATCTCCCTGCTTGTTCACAGGATAATACTTACTGTATAACCTGAAAAACTAATGATTTTCATGATCTTTGACTGGTAATGTGTGTGTGCCCTGCTACAGTGTAAAAATTGTTCAGGAGTGGTTTGAGGTGGTTGAGAGGAGGCCATTCGTCCCATCAAGCTCGTTTGGGGAGAACTTAACTAATAGCTCAACAAACTTAATATTTCATGTTCAGTGTTTTTTTTCTCCACAAAAATGTAATGTTTTATGTAATCAGTAATGAGCAATTTTCATTACCAAAACACACTAGTAATTTAGGTGTTTAAGGCAGGAAAAGTGTCAAGCACACCACAAAAATGTCATTGGGTATAACTTTATTGGCCATATTTAAAATAAATAAAATAAGTAGCAAGCAGAACACAGGCTCTGTATACTGTATAATGATTTTATACAGATCCTTCCAGACACCATGTGAAACGTTAGAAACCGTACTTGCAAATGTTTCTAAACTTAAACTATAGTTGGGCGTTGGTTTTGTCAGGTCACAGTACACAGTGACAGCCTTACCCAGCATTGCGGCTTATAATCCATGCACGCGAATATACACATACATGCACTGATAAACGTGTCAGTACAGTTTTGCTGTTTACTTCTGTCTTTAAAAAGCATTCACTCTGTAACGCTAGTTTAACAGGAACAGATTAACCCATTTCTGCTACCCTCCGTAGTGAGGCTAGCTTGCTAGCGTTGGTCAACCAATGTGAAAATACCAACTTTAGAAGAAAGTTGTGCCAGATACCACAGGACACCTTCAGAGGTCTTGTGGAGTTCATGCTTCGATGGGTCAGAGCTGTTTTGGCAGCATGAGGGAGACCTACACAATATTAGGCAGATGGTTTTAATGTTAAGGCTGATCGGTGTGTGTTTATATATGTATCTATTTATATATATATTGTGTTTATTATTAGATGTGTTAAAAGTGAACAGAACACGCCAATTAACGATAAAATGCATCAACTCTGAACAAGCCGCGTTTGGGGTTTTTTCGTAAGTCTGCGCGTATGGCTGTCAGTGTGATGCGTGGATATGTAGGTGAGTGTCACATGAACAGTGCGTCGCTGTGGCGACCGGTCCTGCTCGTAACCCATGTGGACTTCTGGGGGGGCTGTCCTGCCCCGGTTAGCATGGCTGCTAATACCAGCCAGGGGGGCGGGGTGAGGAAGATGAGGGAGCTGCTGATTCGACAGCAGTATTTGGGTTTCCCTGCTGGGGGGCAGGTGTACGGGGTCGGGGCATCGTTTTGTGATATAATGCTATGCACTTTGAGATACTAAAAATTATATTCTCCCAAGGACAATCGTAATTAAGGCAAATCATTGTCCTGCTCAAGAGGATGGATCAAACGATCAGCTCCCTCCCTGATGGGGGGGACTTCATTAGTATTAATTGGTGCAGATTTCTTCTTTATAATGTGGGAATCGAGGAGCTCTGCTGATAAAACCAATTGAAATTGAATTGAGAGAGAGAGGAACATTAAAAGGGTGGGTTTACTGACAAACACCTGTACTGGGGGTGGGGGAGGTAAGGAGAAAGAAAGAAGCGTTTATAGAATGAGTGTTTGGGGGCAGGGTGTGACAGGAAGAGGCGGGCAGGGTGTGACAGGAAGGGGTGGGCAGGGTG